CCCCCCCCCCCCCCCTCCCATCCGCTCCCTAAACAGGTCTCCCTTGAAAATTAGTTCACGTGGCTCAATGACACTACCTGAATAAATAAAGGGTAAATGAAAATTAAAAATGTACAGGTGCTGGTCATAAAATTAGAATATCATGATTTATTTTTTTTATTCTATAATTCCATTCAACAAGTGAAACTTGTATATTATATTCATTCACTACACACATTCTGATATATTTCAAATGTTTATTTATTTTAATGTTGATGATTATAACTAACAGCTAATGAAAACCCCAAATTCAGTATCTCAGAAAATTAGAATATTGTGAAAAGGTTCAATATTGAAGATACACTCTAATCAGCTAATTAACTCAAAACATCTGCAAAGGCCTTTCAATGGTCTCAGTCTAGTTTTGTAGGCTACACAATCATGGGGAAGACTGCTGACTTGACAGTTGTCCAAAATACGACCACTGACACCTTGCACAAGAAGGGCAAGACACAAAAGGTCAAGGTTGTTAAAGAGCTGGCTGTTCACAGAGCTCTGTGTCCAAGCACATTAACAGAGAGGTGAAGGGAAGGAAATGATGTGGTAGAAAAAAGTGTACAAGCAATAAGGATAACTGTGCCCTGGAGAGAATGGTGAAACACAACCCATTCCAAAGTGTGAGAGAGATTCACAGTGGACTGCAACTGGAGTCAGTGCTTCAAGAACCACTACACACAGACGTATGCAAGACATGGGTTTCAGCTGTCGCATTCCTTGTGTCAAGCCACTCTTGAACAAGAGACAGCGTCAGAAGCGTCTCGCCTGGGACTGCTGCAGAATGGTCCAAAGTTATGTTCTCTGATTAAAGTAAATTTTGCATTTCCTTTGAAAATCAAGGTCCCAGAGTCTGGAGGAAGAGAGGCACAGAATCCATGTTGCTTGAGGTCCAGTGTCAAGTTTCCATAATCAGTGATGGTTTGGGGTGCCATGTCATCTGCTGGTGTTGGTCCAGTGTTTTCTGAGGTCCAAGGTCAACGCAGTCGTCTACCAGGAAGTTTTAGAGCACTTCATGTTTCCTGCTGCTGACCAACTTTATGGAGATGCAGATTTCATTTTACAACAGGATTTGGCACCTGCACACAGTGCCAAAGCTACCAGTACCTGGTTTAAGGACCATGGCATCCCTGTTCTTAACTGGCCAGCAAACTTGCCTGACCTTAACCCCATAGAAAATCTATGGGGAAGAAGTGATATGCCAATGAAATGATAATTTTCAGTTGGCCAACATTTCTAAAAATCCTTATTTTATTGGTCTTAAATAATATTCTAATTTTACGAGATACTGAATTTGAGGTTTTCATTAGTTGTCAGTTATAATCATCAACATTAAAAGAAATACACATTTTTGAAAAATATCAGTCTGTGTGTAATGAATGAATATAATACACAAGTTTCACTTTTTGAATGGAATTACTGAAATAAATCAAATTTTTCATTATATTCTGGTTTTATGACCAGCACCTGTATGTACTGGTAATGGTTAAGTTTAGGGTTAGGCTATAGAAATGAATGAAAAATGAATGGAAGTCAATGCAAAGTCTCTGTAAAGATACAAAGACAAACGTGTGTATGTGTGTGTGTGTGATGGTGGTGGTGGGGTGAGGGTGTCTTGGGCTTTTCTTCAGGTAAAGGTGGTTTTTTTTTAACCTACTACCAAAGGTGAAATGTGATTTTGTTTGTTGCTTGTGAGCGAGTATGGGTGTGTGTTATTTTGTCTGCAGTTTTAGCTAAATATCTCATAAAACCCTGGGTGGATTTTATTGAAACTCACAAAGTGATCATTGGATCTTCAACTGATTATAACTTTGGTCTCAATCCAGTTTAAGATGGCCATCACAGTAAAGCAACCTTAGCAAACACAAAAATGGCTATAGCTTGGTCACTTTTACAGACGATGAGCTAAAATTTGGTGAGTTAGCAACTTATACTGATTCCCAACATATACTATGAGCTCTACCTGATCATGTGACATCTTTGGGTGAAAACATGGTGTTAAATGGTGACATCAGCCCTGTTTGTTTCAGAAAACTCTTTTCAACCTTTGGACACAATTTAATTAAACTTTTAGAAAAGTGACTGTGGATGCACATTTCTAACTGAACAACTTTTGGAGTCACTCCACTTTGAAACAACCACCACAGCTAAATGTTTGCCACTGCAAAAATGGCTATATAATTTTGTCAACTTTCCAGATATTGAGCAAGTTTGATGTGGTAAAAGCTGATATACAGGTACTCCTAGAGCTAAAATGTTACACCATATTAAGAGTTTGTGCATAACGTTGTTACAAGGTTTGACCAAAATGACTGTACGTCTCTCCCATCTCATCATAACATGATTAAAACTAAGGTATAAAAGGCAGTGTGTTATGTGCACTCCTTCAAAGAATGTTAGGTTTTTGATTTTACCATAAAAAGCATCCATTTATACCTAAAATACAATGGTTTGTTGACTAATTTTGAACGTCCTTAACCCCAAAACTCCAGTACCTTTGAAAGCAACAGGTTCTGTTTTTTGCATGTTTGAAAGGTCACTGTGTAAAACTTGTACGTTTCCAGATGAGGAATAAACCATGAGTCAGGGGAGGAAATTCATGCTCCACTCATAGAACAGGAAGAGGATTCTTTGATAATGGAGAATACAGAAAAAAATAAAAATAAATAAAAGCTGATGCATAAGATGATTTTACTCTGAATTTACCAGTTTGTGTGTAGTGCATCCAGTTCAGGATGACCTCCGGCGCTCGGTACCAGCGAGTCACCACATATCCCGTCATCTCGCTGTCTGCCTGCCGCGCTAAACCAAAGTCTAAAATCTAACAAAAAGATGAACACAGATCTGCATTAATGCCCTTTAAAAGCAGCAACAATCCCTTCAGCCTGTTTCTACATAGATTATAAGCATTTTCAAATCCGGGCGTGAGTTTATTTGAGCCTTTGTGGTGTAAACAGATGTACCTTCAGCTCACACTCCGGGTTAACAGCAAGATTTGAGGGTTTTAAATCCTGAAAAAGTTGAAAAGCCACAGTTAACACGCAGTAAACCTTTGTTTAAAAGCTTCACACTGACAAACCGCTGCAGTCAAAAGGTTAACATACACCCACATGGACTTGAACGTCATTCATTTTATGATTTTTTTTTTTCTACCTTGAATGGTTCTTTTTTCCCAGAATAGAATGATTGAACATACAACATTTTTTAGAAACAATAGTTGGGTGCACAAGTATGAATTAATTGTGGATTTTCCCTAATCTATAAAGGGTAAAAACTGTACATACAGCCTAAAATATATTCATATATCCCCAATAATGTTTGGTTAAACGTCCTTTAGTGATTTGCACCTCAATCACAGTTTCTGTTTCCGTCAACAAGCTTCTGGTACTATTCTGGCCAGACTAATTCTACTTGGCAGAATTGGTAGAGTTCCTTCAAACTGGTCATTTTCCTGGCACAGACTTGGCTTTTAATCACTGCACACATTTTTAAGAGGGTTGAAGATCAGTCTTTAGGTAAGGCCATTCCAGAAGCTTAATGTTATCCTGCTTTATCAAGCCGGACAGCAGATTGATGCGTTTAGAATCATTGTACTGTTGAAACACCCAAAGGAGACCAAGTTTAAACTGTTTGGCTTTAAATTAGAGCTGAAGTAGAAAGATTTGGAGAAAAACAGCCACACAACATTATGCTACCACCACTGTGCTTGACAGTAAATAATACTGGAAGCTTCACCATAAACCCTCCAAACATCCTTATCATTGTAATAGCTCAGCCTTGGACGTGTCTGACCATAAACCTTTAATCCAGTAAGCATTTGGGAAGCAGCAAATTTCAGTTGAAGGTGTTTTGGAACGGGGACGTCTTTCTTGGTCAGTAACCTCCGTCGTAAATGTGGCTTCACTGTTGACAGGGACACTGGTGTAACAGATGTTTCCAGTTATCTGCAGGCTTGAGCCTTGATGGCTCATGGGTTGTTCCTGAACATCCTAACAATGTTCTCTTCATCTTTCATCTTCACTGAATATATTGGACTTTCTCATTGTTTTCAGTACTGATCAGTCCGAGTGATGTCCAACAAATCCGTTCACTAAAGAGAAGTTCATGGACCACGGCAAGTTAGAAGCCCTTCTATTTACAGGAATATATAGAAATATTTGAGCCTGTATGGATAATTTAGAACCAGTGTGGACAGGAGAAAATCCATAATAATTCAAATTTCTTTATCTACAGTAGTTGTTGTTTTAAAAAATCAATGAATTTGTATGATTTTTCCATCCAAGAAAAATAAATAATTGGAATAAATCCTTGATCCTTTACTTTGGCAGGGGTTGCCTTTGACCACTGAGCCCTGGCTGTAATATATATTTAAAAATCCCCAATGAATATGACATTTATGCCCACTTAATGAGTGCATTTAAAGCTCTGACAAGTTGCAAACTTATAAAAACACAAACTTACCCTGTGAATAATACCAGCAGAGTGAATATACTGCAATAAAGAAAGGCAACGCAGCATTAATTAAGTCCACTACTGAAAAAATTACCTTCAAGAACTATGAAGGCAGATATTTACCTTAAGACCTTTGAGAATCTGATAACCCAAATACTGAATTTTTTCATCTGACAGTCTAAGTTTCCTCATTAGCTTCCCCAGATCGGTTCCCATGAACGGCATGACGATGTAACTTGAAAAACAAGATGGAGAAAAAGCTACTATTGAGACTGAACATCAGTTTAGGGTTTTATCCAAACTGTGCACATAGTTCTGTCACCCTGCTGCCGTCAGAGCACTTACAAACCATGGAACCTGTCCAACGAAAGGTCTGGAGTGAACACGTCCAGCAAACCAATCACCTGCGTGAAAGAGAGGAAAACACAGCAGAAAACTCTTATTTAATTAATTATTCATGTGGTATTCCACAGAAAAAAACATGAAATATGAGCCAAGATTAAAACCCTGAGTGATTAAAGGAGAAAAGACTTGTGCAGTGATTATGTTGGGCCGCACATTCTCATGTTTCATGTGCTTGATGAGCCTCAGCTCCCTGAAGGCCCGTTTGGCGAACGTCTCGGACTGGAAAGGTCTGTAGAGCTTCTTGATCGCCACTTTGCCTCCTGTTCTGGTGTCCAGCGCATAACTAAAAACAGGGGCGAGAAAAACAAACGCAAAATGTGACTTCACCAGTTGTTGATTCTGTGCAACAAACGTGCTCAGTATATGAGGAAATTATGCCGTTTAGAAACTTCCCCGTCAGAAAAGGTACAATGTAACTGAAAAATCATGCGGTTTGGTTGCATAACTGAAGTGTTTTTTTTGTTTGTTTCAGACACCTGCAGGTTCTTATCACCTGTCAAGAACAGAGGTCTCACTCGGACCACAACTTTGTTTTTGTGCTGGTGTTGAAACAGAGCAGTTTAGTGCCCTCCTTCAGTTAATCATTGATAAAAGCAGGAAGATGTGCAAATAAAGCTGAATGTTTTTGCCCTTGTCTGCTGTAAGCAACATTTCTCATGAACGACTGAATTGGGCTGAAATGCTCAGATCATCATCTACAAGTGGCATTTTGAAGTCAGCCCAGACAAAGGTGGCCACCACAGCTGATGTTTGCCAACACAAACTGATGGAGGTAGCTGAGAGTCATCCTCAACACAGGCTCCGAGCGTGCACGTCACGTGCCATCGTGAATAAATACTGGGTCATTAAAGGCGGCGGGCGATGTGCATTTCTTCAAAGAATGTGAAGTTTGAAACTGTGTGGATCTGATTGCAACACCAGAAGCGTCGCAAAGATCCCCGGGGCTCGCCTCCAACAGGAAGTGGAGCAGCACGCGCTCGAGCGAAGCGACCAAACTTTGATCTTTTAGTTCGTGACTCCGATCATCTGGCACCATAAATCAGCCTCCCAGCATCGATCATTTCACTCACCACACGGTCCCGTACGCTCCGGCCCCCACCTGCTTCAGGTTCTGGTACCGCTCCGGAACTACCCACGCGCTTTGGTTGATCTCCTTATTGTAGAAGCCAGGTCTGACTCGTCTCGTCATTTTTTTGTTTTAAATCATCTAAAAATGATCCCAGATTAACAAAAAGAAGCTCAACTGTAATCCCTTTGTGTGCTCCGGCGCTACGCATCCATTGCGCCCCTGGGTGCCACCTCTGCGCAGATCGCGGCGCAGCTGCGCTCAGGGCGCACCCAGGGGACGCAGAACAGAAGGCCACTCCCGAGCAGTTAAAGGTGAAGCAGAAAACTGAACGTTGTGGGACGGAAAGTTTGGAGTAAAAATAAATCCTGTAGATTTAGTTTGTGAGGAGGGATTATCAGAAACTGGTAGACATTAATCTGGCGCCCTGAGGTGAAATTAAACCGACAGATATTCCTCACCGACATATGAACAAAGAAACACAAAAAGAAACCTAAAATGCTGTTTAAGATTGATCATTCTATAAAACTTTTAATTCAAAATGAAAATATAAAGAAAAAATGGTCAAAACAATAAGAACCCAAAGTCTACTGTCTAATCTCAATCTGTCTAAATCTAAAGTCTAATCATAAAATAGGCTAAACAAATAAATAACAAGGCTCTCCTGGACTATATTGAACCGAGGAGTTTGAAACACTTCATTCCAGTAGTTTTTCAGATATACTGAGATGTAATTTGAAAATGTGGGTCTGCGCTCAATGTAAACAAAGCACTGGATGAACCGCTGAAGTCACAGGATTGACCTACATCAGGCTGGCTGTCATCTGCGAAGGTAAACAAACACGTTTAATGTTTCACCTTTGGTCAGTCACTTCTGCTGTTTCTGTGGGTAAACAAACACACCAGCGTAGTTGGCGTTCAGTCACAAATTGTGCTGACAAAGTGTTAATTTAAAACCATTAATATGAGAAAAATATGGTGCAGCTTTTGTTTCATTTTATTTATTTTTGTCCACTCTTAGTGACTCTGCAGTTACATTAATAATAATACTAATAATAATAATAAAGTTAATGCTACAACCAACATGTTTAACCATTTATTCATGATAAAACCATCAGTATGTAATAACAAAACCCACATATGTGGCTAAATTCACAATAAACCTTTTTTGAATATAATCATCTCATTATCTCTTCTTTATTTTCCCTATAATAAACACATTGTCATAGATTATATACAATAGAAAAGTAAAAATCTGGTTGTAGTTATATGTTTAGAAAGTGATGCTCCAAAAATGAATTTTGGATTACAGAAGAATTTATTGTGCGTGTTTCTGTACGGCAAGATCTTGAACCACTCCCCTTCGTTAAGAAATAAAATCAAAATGTTCCCTTACTCAGAAACGCTCACACACACACACACACACATACACACACACATACACACGTCATAGTATTTGGTAAACGTGAAGGTGACACCCCTCAGCTCGTCAGAGTCAGGTAGGTCACTGCTGGACTTGTTGCCTGAATCATCATGAAAAGCAGACGTGACACGAAACACAAAGGAGGTGGAAAAACATTCCAAAACGTTTCATACACTGATAAATATTTGTATCTTTGAGACATTCAGGTGGACTTTGGACTCCAAAGTCCACCTGAATGTCTCAGCTAAGTCAAATCTATTCCACTGATAACATTTTGACATCAAAGTCCTTTGACTCGTTGGGTTCAAAGTTAAAACCCCAAAGCAGTGGAAGATCACTTATCACCTCCCGTCTGTTCTGTGTCATCGTGCTCGCCTTTGAAGTGTCACTCCTCTGCAGGCTTTCTTGTTGCTGCCCTGCCAAAAAGGAACTCAAAGTTGGACATGGACTTAAAATAATCAGACAGTGTCCAACTTTTTAGTTTCTTCAGGCAGGACAGCAAACGATCAAGAAAGCTGTTATGAAGATCATGTAACGCAGAGTTCTTGTGCCCACGCTGGGGGCTTGCTGTCATAAGGCACTTGGATTCTGGCTCCTGCTGCAGACGCTCCGTGCTGTTGCTCCTCTCCTTCGTCCCTCTCTCCCTGTGTGGTGGTCTCATGTCCTCCCACCCACGCAGGAAGCTCCAGGCCTGGCTGAGAGGAGAAGGGTTTCTGCAGAACCTTGAGGACCCGTTGAACCTGCAGCACAGCAAGTAAGATCAGGTAAACATGGGGAGAAAAAAAAAAAAGATGTCCAACCAACACATAGAAGAACCTGACCTCAGAAAAGTCACCCTTCTCAGCAGCCTCTATTGCATTCTGGGCAATGTAGTTCCTGAGCACCACGCGAGGGTTTGTGCCGTCCATCACCTTCACCCTCTCCTCCTGCAGAGCCTGCACGTCGCTCTGACCCTCCAGCTCACGAGCCAGACGTTTCCTGTGATGGTGATAACACAAATCAGCCATGGAACAATATCTGCAACAAAAACACAATTTCCTCCCACTTCTGTCTGTCGATCCTGTTATCAGTCAGGTTTCCATCCATCACAATCCTCAAAAAAAAAAGGAAAGTAATAAAAAAAATCTCATCTTATCTCTGAGCTGTTCTCGGGTGTGACCTCCTAATAACAAAGTCTCACCTGTAGTGTATGATCCAGGAGCTCCACTCCTCAGCTTGCTTGGTTTTCAGCTCCTCCTGACTCGTCTCCATCAGTTCCTTCAGTTTGCCGAGTTTGTCCAAATGTCTGGCCATCGTGGCTCTGTCTGAAATCATCTGGAACAGGGCCGGGCTGCTCTGAGCCATAGAGAGCAGCACTGAAAGCTCCCTGCTCAAAACAAATAATAGATACTGTAACAGTTAGCATCTTGAAATAAAAGAATCATGCCAGAGCATTAAAATCTGAGTGCCGACAGAGGAGCTACATATAATGTAGACTTCCAGTTAAAAACTGCTTTTACAAAAATAAAACTACATTACGGAGGATTTACAGTATACTTATAAGAGTTATGTATATATTTCAATCTGTGCACATATTTTCCATCTGTAACTTTTAAAAATGTTTGCTTCATCTGTTATTACAACCTTACAAACATCTGTGGCAAAATGATTGTACTATTTCCTTTGGAGATGGTCTGGATACATGAAGCTCACTAACTGCCCACTGGACTTCCTTCTAAGTTCTTGAAAGAGGTTTTTAATACTGTAGGCTTATGCGTCTTAACATTTTTAAACTCTTGCCTTATTTTAGGAACTGTCCCTGCTGCTTTTAAACATGCTGTGGTTCAAAAAACCTCACCTTGACACATCAATTTGATTAAATTTTAAGACTTATTTCTCATTTGCCTTTTTTAGCTAAAATCTTGGAAAAAAATTATTTTATGCAGTTACAACACATCTATCCATCCATCCATCCATCCATCCATCCAGATCCATCTGGATTTAGAACTTGTCATAGTACTGAATCAGTCCTGTTAAAAGTCCATAATGATATTGCCATGTCTATGGATGCTGTTTCCTGCTGGACCTTACAGCTGCTTCTGACACAGTGGACCTGCTGTCCTTCCGTCTTGTCTTCAACTCTATGATGGTATATCTGGTTCAGCTCTCAAGTGGTTCACCTCCTACTTGACCAACACAACTTTCTCTGTCAGGTTGGGTAAACTGTCTTCCTCTACTGCACCTCTTTCTTGTGGTGTGCCACAGGGCTCTATTCTTGGTCCACTTCTTTTTTCTCTGTATATGCTGCCAATGGAATCAGTTATTGCCAGACACCACTTTTCTTTTCACTGCTATGCAGACGATTTACACATTTATTTGCCTATGAAGCCTAAAAGCACTAACCTTCACACTTCTTTTATTGACTGTATTACTGACATTAGAGACTTCACCAAAATTTTCTGTTTTTAGATGAAGGAAAGACAGAGTGTATATTCTTTGGTGATGATGCTCCCTGTAACTTTTGTGCTTTGATATCCAAGTTTAGACCCACAGTTAAAAACTTGGGGGTGACCTTTGACAAGGATTTAAAGTTTGACAAACATATAGCCTCTGTAGTCAAGGCCAGCTTTTATCAGTTTTGTCTTAATCAAGGTCAAGCCTTTTTTAAATTGTCCGGACCTGGAAAAAGCTATTCATGCTTTTATCAGCTCAAGGCTTGACTACTGCCATGGTCTGTTGCAGTGGTGGGGAAAGTACTCAAACACTGTACTTAAGTAAAAGTACAAATAAACAGACAAAAATGTACTCTAGTAAAAGTAGAAGTACCACATTAATGTTTTTACTTAAGTAAAAGTAAATAAGTACTTGCTTTTAAAAATACTTAAAGTATTAAAAGTAAAAGTACTTGCTGAATGTATTACCTACCATATGTATATTTTGTGTAATACATTAATAGTGTTGAGTCATTTTACTGAACAATGCTGCAGATAATACATGTTTTTATTGTGTTTACTCTGTGACACCGTTCACACTTGGACTTGTGATTCTGTGCGTCAGAATTTCAGGGATGACATGCAGAGTTAAATGTCATTAATCAAAATAAGAAAGAGGAGTGATTATACCTTTGAAAGTTTTTATTTAACACAAAGTAAAACCAATGTGTCATTTTAACTGCAGTAAACACATTTAAATAAAAGGTAGCTGATGAAAAAAGGAACAGTAGACACAACTAACAAAAAAATAGGCACCGATCAGTTCAACTCCAGTTTGTCATCAACTCTAGTTAAAATGATGTCTAGTCAACCTTGTAATGGGTCAATATTGAACAATATTTTAACTTCCTGACACCATTTTCAAAACTTGGACCCGAGTGTCGAGTCATTTGGAGACATCTCTTGTCTCCTAACATCCCATGAACTGACACATTTTAATGTTGCAGCAATAATTTCTTGTTCAAGTTCAGAAGAAGTTGGTTTTCAAAGTTTTTTTAAGTCCAGTCTGGCTCTTTTGGGAGAGAGAATCTGTCCTGCTGTACTGAATAATCTTTCAATAGGCTTTCAATAAGGCCATGGGTGGCACGTAATGTATCTTCTGGCTGACTTTCCTCGATGGAATCCATTATGGGTGTGTTAGTGGTGCAGCGGGTGCGCCCAGCTCAGTGACATATACTAGAATATAGCTCTTCTTGAAGGCAGGTCTAATGTTACCTGCCCACTTTGCATTGATTCAATGGACCAACTCCCCTCTCGCCATGGTTTACTTTCAAATTAACGAACAAATAAAAAAGTTGCAACGTGAATGTAACTTGTAACACAACGCATTATAGAAATGTAGTGTACTAGAAAGTACAGATACTTAATGTAAAATGTAGTGGAGTAAAAGTAAAAAGTATCCATGTTTAACTCTACTTAAGTAAAGTACAGATACATGAACAGTGTACTTAAGTACAGTAAAGAAGTACTTGTACTTCGTTACATCCCACCACTGTCTGTTTGTAGGAATCTTCCAATCCTCCATCAGACGTCTTCAACTGGTCCAAAATACTGCAGCTCGTCTTATTTATTATTTTTGACTAATACGTTTTTACAGTTTGTCCCAAAGTCCAAATGTTGGGACGACTGGGCCTTTTCAGTCGCTGCACCCAGATTGTGGAAGTAAGAAACTCAGGATTTGTGCTCCATCACTGATCTGGCGCTTTAAAAATTTAATCTTAAAACCTTTTTATTCAGGCAGGCTTTTAATACATACTGGCTCTCCTGGCATTTTCGTATTGTTTTTAGTAGTTTATTTTTTACTTTTGTTTTGTGAAGCACGTTGTGCACCTTTTGGCTGTTGGAAAAATAAATATTGATTGATTGATTGATAGACAGGCCTTTTTTTTAGAAGACATTTTAAAATGGAACAGAACGATATCTGACTGAATGCAACAAGTTTTTTGCTAAATGAGTAGCTAACCTAAGTTTTCTACATGATCAGAAATATACATCTGGATGCATGATGTTGCTGCTGTAACGTGATATTTGGTGACATTTACTTAGGAATAAATTTTTACTTTAATATCAGCATTCTTACAGAATAAATTACAAATAAGTCAAGAATGCAGCACCATTGTACATCTACTGATCAGATCCACTAGAGCCACTCAGAGGCAGAAGAATGAATTACACCAAATAGAATATCAGTTTTAAACAATTAGATCATAAAAGCAATAACTTTGAAATCCTTGTATCATTTCTTGAACATGGCAGTCTATTACAATTTGGTCCAAATGGTGGTGTTATAAACCAGGCCATCTGCACCTCCTCAGTACATTCAATAATGATTGTAAGCTAAACGGTTGATCAAATCTGACCAAAAAAGTGTCAAACTAAAGTAAAAAAATACAAATTTGAATGAAGCCATTCTTTTTGAAAATGTGAACATTTTAATTTTTGTTTTATTTAATAGTTTTTTGAAAATTTAGTTAATATTAAATAGAAGTTTTGTTTGCTCAACTTGCCACTAGAAAGAACTTGTGAAAAGCTACTATTAAAATCCTTCTGGAAACTTAAGAGGTGGTAACACATATTAAAATATTCAGGCTTATTTAGCTGAAATATTTTGTAATTCCACACTCTAAATGTTTTTTTCAGATTTATATTTATAATCGTTTTAATCAAACACAATGTGTTTTGGACTGTGCGTAGTGTCTTTATGGCTCACCGTGGATCAATAGTGGGTTTGTTGGCTGCTTTAAGCTCCTCTAAAGAGGCACACTGCTCCAACAGAAGGTCTGTGGTTTTCTTAAGCTCCCCGTGTCCTTCAGCTTCTTCCACAGATGAACAGGAAATTTGACTTAAGCTTCTGAAGGTGTTGGTGAAGTCAGCACCTGCAGGATATGAAGAGAAAATGCATCAGTCAATATGTATTTGATTAAATTTACTTTTAAATCAGACACCTGAGCAAAATGACACTGAATTAAGATCCCACCCGTGTTGTGCATCGTCTGCAGCAGCTGAGTGATCAGTATCTCATCTTCAGGTTCCTCCTTTGTCAGTAAGCCCAGCTTCTTCCTCATGTTCTCCAAGTAGAAGCGGTTGAACAAGTCCATGTATTCGTTCATTACGGCCTCGGCCCGATCTGGCGGAAGTTCTGGAGCAAGAGCCTCAGCTAGCTTCACCAGGTTCCACCTGCAGATGGCCGGCTGGGCCTGGTAGGAGTAGCGGCCAGAGTTGTCGGACGCATTGCAAACGAAGTCCGGGTCAAACCTGAGGAATGTAGAAAGTCCATAAAAATACTTTGTGTAGTTAGATTTTGAACTCTACAGTTATTTGTCAATGTACACATTACAACTCATATGTCTGACCTGTCCATGAAGCCGTAAGGACCATAGTCCAGGGTAAGACCCAGGACGCTCATGTTGTCGGTGTTCAGAACTCCGTGACAGAATCCTACACACTGCCACTGAGCCACGAGCCGGGCCGTGCGATACATCACCTGCAAACAGAGAGAGAGAGGGAACCACAGGGTAAGCCATCTCTAAAAATATCCTCAAACAGTTTCAGTGGAATGACCTTTCACTAAGTGGAAAAGGAAAATGTCATATTCCTGGATCCTTGTTACCTTAGTCTCACAGAGGGAACAAAGACTCAGTACTGACACTAAAAAACTTGCACCGGTTTAACAAGATAACATCCAAATGTTATTTAAAGTTGACTTTATTCAGTTTTAAAGCCTACATTGGCTTAAATTACAAATAAAACCTAATCTTATCATCTTAAATTTGCATGTTTAGCCTCTTACCTCTCTGAAGAAAGCTATGTTTCGCTCCACTTTGTCTGGATAGTTCTGATGGATTTCAGGGTAGAACATCTCTATGACATAATCCAACATCTGAGCTCGGATCTCATCCCGTCCATAGCTGGGACCTTGCCGCCCTGTCAACTCATCAGCCGGCTTGAAGATCTCAAAGGACCCAAATCTGTGTGGACAACACAATATATGAAGATCTTTGTAAAAACATCTTCAAAAGCTCAGAAGTCCACGATAGATGAAAGGAGGACAGTGTGTGTGTGTTCACCTGAGGAAGGTGGGAGCAATGCGAAGAACAACTGAGCATCTCTCAAGCTGAGGATGTCCGCTGTAATTCACGTCCCGTATAACTCTGCTGTCAGAGGTCACCACGGAGCCTGCTCTGGTGGTGGGCACACCGAGGAAGAACATCGCCTCGCTGCAGAGGAACTCTCTTATACTGGACCGCAGGACCTTACGACCATCAGCTTGTCTGTGGAGGAGAAAGGCAAAACACTTTATACACAATATTTAAAGTAAAGCCTATTTGATCGGTCCACTGATCTCACAGCTCGCTCAGACCTTTTGTCAATTACTTCAAATTATTACAAATTGTCTTTGTGACAGGATGCAACCAGTGCCATGAAATCCTATTTTGAATTGAAGTTATTGACAAGTTGTGTACTTTGTGTGGTTCATCCTTTGAGTTTAAGACCTTTTTTAATGTCTGAATGACTCATAGGTCGGGGTTAAAGGTGCTCATTGCATTAGTCATGAAAACAAATTAGTCAAATTTTCATTAAGTAAAGAGAAAACAAACTCTTTACATTGTTTTCTCATACCGATGGGTGTCCTTAAATTTAAAATTTGTAAAGAAATTTGTGAAAACCTATCCTATGCTTGTCTAGTTCTGCCATATTTGTTTACCTTCACTAAGACAAGACAATCTGAAGCTCTAATGTGGTTTTCAACTGAATGCTTTGTTTACATCGAGTCTGTACCCATAGTTCAGAATTGCAGATTATTGGAGTAAACTCTTTCAAAATGCTTGATTGTGTATAGTTTAATATACCGTTTAATGTAATAGTTTACAGTTTGCAATAACCTTGTGTAAATACACAAGTATTTATCATAGACAGGTATTACACAGGAAACAACTGGACTAAAAATGAGCATAAGTCTAAAGTTAAAATCTAGAGTAACTTTACAGTCTAATATTTGTGTTCAAGAGGTTACCTGGAGAAGGGGGTCAGTCCAGCTCCTTTCACCTGAATCTCCCATCGACCGCTCGGGTTTTCCCGGAGCAGCTCGGGCTCTTGACCCGGTGGAGCCTTTACCTCCCCCAGGTAGCAGGCCGCCCCGTCTCCCAGCTGCCCGGCAAAATGACCGAACTGGTGCCCGCAGTAGCAGTGCGCCGCAGGTTCGGATCCAGGCAGAACCTTGGATCCGCTGAGATACTCGGGCCCCAGTGGATCCTTCAAGACCTCGTCTGCGCGGAGCCCCAGCAGAGCCAGAGCTTCGGGCGACACGGCAACGAACCGAACGTTGCTCAGCGGCTGAGGCTTCACCCGAGAGAAACAAGCACCTTTGACCTGGCGGACTCCCGGCTCCTCGGATGGGTCCAGGGGAAGTTTCCTCAGGGCTGCGTTGTCAAACTCGAGGCGCTCCAGTGGGGAACGACTTACTGCGTGACCCATATCGTCCATCTTGACAGTACCGAGGAGTCTGAACGTGGACACACCGGGAATAAAGACGCGTAACGTGCCTAAAAGAGCCATCCAAACCAGGCCATCTGTCTGTTGGCCTTCACCAGTGAGTACATAGCTGTTAAATCACGATTTCATAATCCGACAGACTAAACCGGATGTTTTGGTAACATGTTGTTATGCCTTTATTAGTCCGGCTAGAAACACAATGTTAAGGCGGAACTATATAAAGAAAACGTAAATCAATCAACCTTTATTTAGACAGGTAAATCCCATTGAGTCTCGAGGACTCATTTACAAGAGAGACCTGATTTCAACAAAGAAAGATGACAACAATGGACAACAGCAACAACAATAAACAATTATAAAAAGTCATACTGCAGGTTTTTTTTTTTTTTTTTTTTTTTTTACAAATAGGATGGCTAAAAGGAAAAGGTAACAAAAAAAAAAACAGCTAGATTCTAAGGCGAATGTAGAAAACTAAAAACAGGAACATGTCTGCATTGGTCCCTGCCAGGAGTCCAACAGATTCTTAAAGCCAAGAATCTGAAAATTAAAAAAAACGATAATTAGAAAATTTAAATATTGTTCTACGTGTCACTAAATATTACATTTTTAACTAATGAATAAAAGGACTATAAAACATGTTTGTCAAATATAGTTTAACTTGACTTGTTTATTTATTTTTTTATCATATACTTAACGATTTTTATAATTAATGACATGTTCCTGTTTTTAGTTTTCTACATTCGCCTTAGAATCTAGCTGTTTTTGTTACCTTTTTCTTTTAGCCATCCTATTTGTAAAAACAAACAAACTGGAGTATGACTTTTTATAATTGTTTATTGTTGTTGCTGTTGTCCATTGTTGTCATCCTTCTTTGTTGAAATCAGGTTTCTCTTGTAAATGAGTCCTCGAGGCTCAATAGGATTACCTGTCTAAATAAAGGTTGAATGAATCAAAAACTCTTGAGTTACTTACAATAAAAGATTTGAAGATATGGGAAGCCAAATACCACAACAAACGCAGTCATTCACAGTTTTCAAATAAATACAGTAGACTGGACCTTTATGTTGGAAGAAGACTGCATTAGTCTAAGGGAAAAAGCAATAAAGGATAAAGGCACAGACCTTGCATCTAAATTTTATCCTCGCTTCCATTCAAGATTTCAACTGGAAGACAAGTTACCTGACTTAGCTCAAAAAAAAAAACTGGCACAAGCTTCAAACGTTTTCTAAAAGAAATAATATATATATATATATATATATATATATATATACATGTATATATATATATATATATATATATATATATATATATGTATGTGTGTGTGTGTGTGTGTGTATATATACACACTGTATGTATAATAAAAAAAATTTGACCTAATTCACAATAAAAAAGTACCTCATATTAATATCACCCATTGTTATATCTGCAGAATGACAAAAAGTAATGTGCATACAGTCTGTAAATTTATGCTTGAAACCATGCAATTATCTTCCTCAGACACTTTACTGTGCTTCATCATTTCATATATGGCTCATTGTAGTTTCTAGGACATCACTCCATCTTTTTTGTTCATGCAGAGACAAGCTTAATTTTAGATACATGTGTTTGTGTTGGTAATAAACTTTAGCAGAGGAGGCAATCATGAGGTCAAAGGCAGCAGCAGTGATATCAAAGTAAGGCTAAATGTTCCAGTAAGTTTTGCATTTAGCAGTCAGACATTATATAAATAAAGCATTATGGTAAAGTTCAATTCCTCACTGAAAGGAGACAAAACAAGTTTTAGTCTCATTTGATTCTTGGATTTTAAAAACACCATAGGAATGAATAATACACATATTATGATAGCTTTATCTATACAAGTAGTTTGTTTTTATTTATAAATCCTTACTCATATATGGAGCCAGTTAAATAAAGCCTGTGAGAATACCTCATATTTGAAGAAACACAAGTTAGAACATTAATCACTGCTGTTCCTGCTATTACTAAAATGTAGGAATAAGCATAAAATGTTGGTGGATTGGTGGCATTTCAAAGTCATTGCAAAATAAAAGTAAATTTATGGAGCGATGGGTTTTATTAAACATCTCATGTAATGTCAGAATTTTAGAAAACTTCACCAATTCTATGCACATGTAAAATGAACAGAAACTATTAAACAGTAGCCCTTACAGATGAAACTCGAGGCACTTGGCTTTAGAGTTAGCAGGACAGAGAAATCACTAAATTTCCTTTACTAACCCTTAACACTTGTGTCGAGGAACATGGATATTTTTATGAAGAACCAGGAGAATGATGATAATCCTTCCGCATCAGACATTTCTTTTCTTCACAGCATTGTTCAGCATACACAAATACTTATATTTTAAACTATCTTTCAGTTAACCATCATTAAATTATGACTTTTTTTCTACTCCAACAGCCTGTATGCATAGAACATGACTAACAGTCTTTTAAAATGTAGGACCAATCACCAACAATCTGACTGGTAGCAGAAGAAAGGAAGGAACCAGCCTCTTAAAAACAATAACCACATCATCTCAGAGCAGGTGATGATGATTCCAGTGATGCTTACTAAATGAAAACTGTGGGCATGTGAATTTAAGAAATGACAGGGAAAATATAAATTTACTAAAGAGGCATATTGTACTAGAAGTACATTTCTTAAATCAATGGTGTGTACAAAACATTTAGAGTACTGTAATGGTTTCTTTGGCAGCATTACCCCTCTGTCAACAGGGACATCGATATGAGGTGAAGGACTCTTAACCCAGATTAGGTCTTTTTTGGTTCAATGTGTGGGTTGATGAACCTGATCCTTCAACCTCACCTCCTGTTTTTAAGGCCACTGGTGATCAATGCATTGTTTTGAGAGGTTAAAGGTCATGTCTCGGATAAGAGACAACAAGCAGAGTCAAGAAGGACGAAGCCGTACTGTGTCCAATAAAGACTGAACTGCAGGTAGAGACAGCAGGGCTCTACCTAAACCTCCCCCGGCACGGTAGCAGGCGTATCCTAGCATTCCAAGCAAGACACCCTTTATGGATGTGCGCAACAACCAGCCGAAGCGTGAGGGGGACGCAACGCTGAGGAAAACAGACAGAGAAACAATGACATACCAGTTTTTTCCCAATCGACTGTTTATAGTATCAAGGAAATGCAGTCAGCGTACCTCATGATTTCATGAATGTTAAGCTCCTTCTCCCAGTTTTGTTCAATGCCAGGAACATGACCCATTCCTACAACTCCCACCACCACAGCAGGCACTTCTACAGTGAGAATAACAAATATTTAGGTTAATCATTCAGACTTGAAGCCTCAAATTTTCCATAGAATAATAATAATAATAATAATAATAATAATATTATAGGCTTTATCTTGTACAAATGATCAAATACTTAAATAGGAAAACAATTATGTGCAAATTTTAGCACATTTGAGTTATTGTGCAAGGCTGTTACAAACTAAAGGTTTTGCAAAAGTATGGCATTTTTTTAAGTAAATAACAGAACAGAATATTCACAAAATGGATCCTTAAAGTACAATTGGCTAAAAATAAACAAATCTATCATTAAACATACGGTAACTAGGCGTGCATCAGTTGCATTCAAACCAGACTGTCCTCCTAAGTTAGTAAATATGCAACATATATTGCTATACAAAAATATTTATAGACAATATACTTACAATTATTATTAAAAAAAAACCTGAAGTAGTACATTATAAATTATTATTGATAAATTCTAATGAGCAATGTACATTCAAGACCAAAAAGGTTGACTGTAAATGTTTATTCTTTGAATATACAAGTGCTTGCTGAGTAATGCAATACTCACTCTGGCCATTAAAAGGGGACTCCACACAGCGCGTTGCCTGGCGGAGTGTGTGTGTGAGGTAGATGTCCCTTTCAGCCACGATGGTTTGATGAAGAGCAGGAAACTCGCCAATCATCTCCGACATCGTCTGCTCCAGCAAATCTTTCTGCTTGCACTTCTCAACATCCTCTTTACTGAAACATGACACACAATTTATCTCAGTGAGCTGGAAGTCATGTAAAGTTAGGGAATATGCCTTTTAGTTATAGAGAAACATAAATATAAATAGAAGAAAAAGTTACAAATGCATCACTTGTAAATTATGTAACTGTCTGAATCTACAGTTGAAATAAATTAACATTATTTATTATCATTGCAAATGTGTTTTGCCCAAGTTCTACATAGTAGCCTTAAAAAATGACTTTCATCCTGCCATTTGCTAAACTGGCCACCAATACATGCTGTCAAGAATATATTCAACTTTAGGTCTCTAAGGTAAAATATTTAACTTATCAAACTTTTGATTGCAAAGATACTGCAAGATGCATACAAGCATCTGTTCACGCAGAAAGATTGTCCTCAAATAAATCAAAGGCTTTTAAATACTCGACAGATTAGCATATATTTGAAAACGGGTGCAAATTCATAATTCTAACATAAACCATGCACAGCCCTTTTTTGCCTAATTCATCTTTACTACAGCTTTCATGATTTCCACAAAAATATATTTCAGAAGCTCTTTCATCCACAATATGTAAAGTCACTCACATAGGGTATCTTTCATTCTGTAAGAATACATTTATCAATTCATCTGTTTTTATATTTCTATACATATGTTACATATCTTTATTACATACATACATAAAAATGTGAAACACAAAAATGTCACTAAATTCAAAGACAACTTTTTTCCTTAGGCTAAATAGTAGTGAATTAAAGAGTGTTTAAAGACGTGGAAAAAAGTGATACCTGATTGGATCTGACAAAAAGCAAAGACCCCAGGCAAGGCGAGCCTTCTGCCATAGACTGAGAGCAGCTATAGCTCTCTTGAACGTCACAGGGATTGGCCTGTCCCCAAGGTGGAATTTACAAAATGGTACTCGTCCAGCCTGTGTGGACAGAAATACTTTAAGGTTCAAAAATACACAACATATTTAAAGTGGGACAGGCGTGCTTCTGTGGACAATGTGCTGTCTTTTCAAGACAAAATGAGGTGGGGGTGTTCAGGATAATACGGCTCTAAAATGAACATTTAGCTTCTTAACGAAGACATTTTGTTGGTCAAAAGTGGCATGACTGATGGGTAAAAAGGATTTATGAATGACTTACCTCTTTGAAGGCCTCCCTAAACTCTCCTCCAGGTGCCATCCCCAGCTGCTCTGTGATGTGAGCTGAAACTTTGAGCAGAAGAATCTGCATCAGACCAGACATCAGCCCATTCTGAACAGAAGAGAAAGAGAGTTAGGCCTTTGAAAGCATTTTTATTGCAACTTTAAAATACACTGGTGCTACATTAAAGAAGTTCCAGCTCAATCCAAAGCAGAGCTAAATTTGTAAGAAAAGCCTAACTGGAGCTCTCATTGCAACTTTTTTTTTTTTAAACCATATCGATTTCATATCGATTTGAAAGCCTGACCTGTTTAATGGCTTGTTGAACCTTTTCCAGGTTGATCTCTTTGGCTTCCCTCAGCAGCGTATTCTCATCCATCCTCAACATCGACACCCTGTACTGGCACAGCTCCACCACCACCACGTCTGGCTGCACAGCGCAAATTGTCTGTTTGAGAGAGAGAAAGAGTGAAAAAACTATATAAGAAGCAGACACAGAATAACCTCACAGTCAAAGAAATAAACAAATGGCTAATATGCATTACAGAAAAAAGCACAACATTTCACAAGCAGCAGCACAGAAGACAAGATAATGCTGCACTAAGTGGTGCATTATCACTTGAGCTGTGTTAATTGCACACATTATTTTAAAAACAGTTCACAGCATATCACATTTTAGGAAGGTGTGAGTAGCTTAATGCCCTACAGAGAGACTGATACTTTGTGTGTGTGTGTCTGACTGGCTCACCGTGGCCACATCTTTTTTGCTGCTGTCACTGAAATGAGCAGTGCCCACCAGGTACAGGATACTGCCATCTGGGGCAGTAAGACAGGTCACCGTCTCTGGGAGCTCAGGAGACGACTGGCGACGCTTGGATCGCAGCTCCCACAAAATCTCCAAGGTTTCACCATCCGCTAGACAAAGACGGCACAAAGTTAGAAAAAAAAAAAACCTTGAAAATTTTGAGAGAAATTGTAATTTTTATAATTACTAGGATCTCTTGAAGCAAAGCTTTATTTACATTTAAAGTAACTTTTTGATAGCTCAGCTAAAGAAGTCATGGGCCCCAAACTCTGGAACAACCTGCCCCCCAACATCAGGCAGGCCACCTCCCTTCCTCACTTCAAATCCCTGCTTAAAACACATCTGTTCTCTCAGGCATTTCATACAGTGTAAATTGATCTAGTGTTTTTTTAATCTGTGACCCTATGTTTTAAATGCTTTTTTTAATTCTTCAGTTATTATTATTAGTGTATTGTGTATATATATATGTTTATATATTTTTCTCTATAATTTACTCATTGATTGTTGTGTTGTTAAGCACTTTGATAACAGGTTCTGTTTTAAATGTGCTCTATAAATAAAGATGACTTGACTTGACTAAAATTGTAGCAAATCAAAATCTGCACAAAAGATGTCAGTAAAACCTTGAACATGGACATTTCTCTGACATAAAATTATTCCCACCTTACTTTTTTAAATGTTTCACATATAACTTGAAAAAATAGTACAGTGATGATAAACACATTTAAAGTTTTGTGAACACCCTTTTTCTAAGTGTTCAACTATAGCCAGACAGATTAATTACAAAAACAAGTAGTAAATGAGACTATTTTTGTTAGTATTCATATTGTTAAGATTTATGATAGACATCTTGGAATTTAGAAAACAGTATCAGTATATGTAGACGTTTGTCATCAAATCCATTGTGTTTCCATTGAGCTGCATTGATCCTATCTTCGTTTTATCTCCATTTTCTTTGTAGGAGACTAAATTTGGTAAAAGTTGGTTAACACACATTCAGAATGAAACGTGCTGCGAGTTGCAACTCATGATGAAATTAAAGCAAAAAAAAAAAAAACCTGAAAGCACAACAATAATTATTTTTATCTCAAGTTACAGAAAGGAAATTCTGACTAATTGCACAGCTCTAGATGGTGTTCCCATCACTTAGTTGATTTTTGTCATCAAATATTTGTCCCAATCTATTTATCTGTGATCAACTAAATCAGCCAATCAGAAGAGCCAGCAGTGAAGTGTTAGTGGGAAACTGAAATCAAATCTTCATGTGTTTCTTGCCAAACAGGTCATTTACACAGCATGTAGTCACCTCTTTTAAAGTTATCACACCAGTTGTCTGATGCAATTCAGAACACTTCTGGCAACAAAACACAATATCTTTTGAAGAAAGAGAGACTAAAACTACAACATACCAAGTCCTGGAGGTATACAAGGCGGTTCCTCTTCTGCATGATGATCTCTTGATGGGCTGACAGACTCATCCTAAGAAACAAGACAACGTAGACAATGTCAAACAATGAATGCATGTTTAGCCCTGTTTTAAGATTAAGAAATTATTTATGTACCAAGTATGTCCATCATGAAAGACTAGATAACTAATGACAATTTGTGAGAGGAAGTTCAGTTCAGTACATATGCATATAT